CTAATAAAAGTAAATTGTTGCATAATATCTTTGTTTTGAACAGGGGTGAACTACATACATGGAACTTGTGAATTGATCTTTCTTTGCACATTTTTTACTTGTTATTCATAGCAATGGACTGCCAAGTACATCTCTTGATGATAGCTCATATCACCAATTTGATTATATCTCTCAATATAAATGACAAAGTCCACTTTTGGTCCCTAAGCATGGGACTTTTATCAATTTAGACCTTATATCACTTTTGGCAATTTAGTCACTAAAATATTTAATTTAGTTTTAAACAGACAGTTTGTTAAGTTTTTTATGAAAGTGATCACGCATCAGTTGATTCATCATGGTCATTTCCATAAAAAAAAAAAAACTTGACGAATCGTTGTGTAGAGACCATTTAAACATGAAACAAATACTTTAAAGACCAAATTGATTAAAGTAGCAATGCTTGCGCCACAAAACGAAATACAGCAGAAAAATTAGGCAACTTTCCTTTGGGGTCAGCTAGGTGATTCCTTTCTTGTCGTTTTGCTCTGTAATTACAAGCAACCATATCATGGCTCAAGTATATATTTGGGTCTGTTTGTAGCATTTTGCCTAGAGGCATCCTAATTGCAGGGTTGGTGCCCTTTAATTTGTGCTTCCACTTGGAAGAAGATAATGCATGCTAACCAAATTTGGGAGCAAAAAGGACAAAAGAACAAAAGAAATCAAGTTAGTTAATTTGAAGTGTGCAAAACAAATATTTATTTAGGAGCAGTTGGATGATCCCCAGAAAAGGAGACCTTGGGCAAAATGAAGACATTGAAGTAGAATCAACATAGGGTCAATGTTTATATGCATAAAGTAGCTTGGAGTGTGTTGGCAGATTCAGTGACCATATTTTGGCTGTTCACTAACAGGGGTGGAGCCAGGATCCTCCCTTAGAGGGGGCAAAAAAATGACTAAAAAAAATTCACTAATTGATACAAAAATTTCAAGTTCAAGCATGGAAAATGGTTTAGAATCAAGACTAAATTATTATATGAAACTACAAAATAAAATTTTGTTTAAAATATGATCTATAAATAACGTTTAAATCTCAAAAATAGAGTATAAGTGATTATTTTAAGCTACTTACTTAAAGAAAAAGGGTCAGGGATAACTTTCCACATTTATTTTCCTCAATCCAAAAATAAAACATTTGTTTCAAGCGGGCGATGAGGCAGTGAGCTACTAAGTTGTTTAAAAAAAAAAAAGACTTGGATCACTATTAATTCGCAAAAAATTAGGGGGGCAAGTGTATTAACTTTTAATATAGTTAAGTCCCTTAATATGCCATATTTGGAGTTGATCAAAGTTTAGTGGGGGCAAGTGCCCCCATACCTCATGACGTAGCTCCGCCCCTGTTCACTAACATGAGCTTAATATGAGGTTGCTATAATTGTCTACTTTCGCATTGGTAAGCAATTCTGAACATTCACCGCTCCAAGTGAGCACTTCTAACATCCCACTAGAATGAGATTTGCAGAGGCCTCATAACTGTCCACACACAACAGTTTTTGTGAAAACTCTAATAAACTTCACAGAAAATCCTACCAAACTTGTAAGTTGTAAGAGCTGGAGCAGTCAGTCCTTAGGCCTAGCATATATAATGTGCCATGCTATAAATGACCCCTACTTTATGTACTTTATAACAATTCTGATGATGAAAATTTTGACTAAATAAACATGTTTCACGTCACTCTGTAGTTTACTCAATCTCAGATTTTTTCCAATTGTTCTTTTTGTAATGTCATGAACTTCTCATACACATTTTTTATTGATGTGATGTAAAATGTCTTCAAAATAAAAAATAGGAAGATAATAGCCATTAATTTACACCAAGAATAGGGTACTCTTGCCATTATACGTTGAGTTTGGCTAAAACAGGATACTTTTTTGATGGATGAGCCTGATTTTATGCTTTTTCCCTGTCCTCTTCTTGTTTCTTTTTCAACTGTATCGTGAAAGACAGGGTTAGCCTTCAAAACAATGATCCTCTCGTCTTTGCTATGTATGTGCCATATTGGATTCAGCTTATGTCCAATTATGGTGTCTTTACCGACTCAACCATTGCCTCACTGTTCGACAGTGGAGCCTAGACCACTAATTGGAACCTATGTAATGGGGGTTGAATTGCTTCTCGTCATTGTCAATTGCCAAAGACCTGAGCTTTGTATCAATTGTGGTTTTCTTTAGACATATTTTGATTTTTCAATTTCCTGAGTGAGAGTTTAAAATCCAGAGTCTTACATTTCCAGAAGAAATTTAAACATATGGATGAAACAGAATAGAGGAGGTGTCTTAGTCTAGCATATAAATGGAATATTATTGGGTGTTGATGATGAAAGGTGAAGAAAAAATCAGGGCCTAATTTCTTTACTTTATAACTTCCATTTCTTATAGCACATGACATGTTTGAAGTTGGTTAGTTACCAAGGTGATGCTTAATCTCTCTCTCTCTCTCTCTCTCTCTCTCACACACACACACACACACACACACACGCTCTGATGCACGGAGCATGATAGGATGAACCCGAAATAACACGAAAAACTTAGACCAATTGATTATTGTAATAGTACCAAGCTAAAGTTCTTCAGTAATTTTGTTGCTTAGACCAATTGATTATTGTAATAGTACCAAGCTAAAGTTCTTCAGTAATTTTGTTGATTCTTAAGAATATCTAAGCAATTAGGAAAAAGGAAAAATCTTCTCTGTAATATTATTTCAAATCATCAATAGCTCCTTAACAGGTCACAATATTGGCTATTAGAAAATAATCAGCCCCGTTAGCCCATGTTTGAAACAAAGGCCTGGGATGAGATCCCATTACGTTTTGCATCATTCTCCTCATGTTGAAAAGTATTCGCCTTCGAATTCATTTTGATGTTTGAATCTCCATTTGAATTTAGGCTTCCAACAAATTTATAGAATTTGGATTCGGTGTTATGATCTCTATTTAAATTTAGGATTTCAACCAATCCTAAATTTTAACCCTTCAAGGACTCTTGAAACATTGACCTTGCGGAGAGACAAAAAAATCAAGTACAAAACTTTGAAGCGTCGTCCATGGCGTAGCATGATCAAATAGGTAGATGTCCAACTTTGCAAATAATTCTTCCATAGACTTGTTTTTATTCTAGGATGAAATATCATTCTTGAAGGCTAAAGAGTTGCCCACAGAAGGAATAACTAGACAAAATTTGGGTAAAGACTTCCTCTCAAGAATACTTGAATCATGCTTAAGGAACCCACCACCAGGGTAGAATTTTGGTGGTATTTAGGATCATTGGGGTTTGGATCATCAGTAATAACCAGGACATAGATACTAGGATTGTTGATACCTCTATCGCCCCATGAACTAGGGTCACAGGACCTGAAACAGTGTGGATTCACGATCCAGATCACTTAAAATCCTGAACGCAAATTGTAACTCAAACCTTAAATTAAATACCAATTAACTATGTGTATATAAAGATACAATGAAATATAATCTGACATAATATAGAAGACAATCTGATAGAAAACAAAACACTCCCCAAAACATCATACCAACTAAGGTTACCCTCATCACATCGCATACTCGTACTTGTACTACGTACCAAATCATCCCACCATCCAAGTAACATTGTTCCGGGATGTTATTTACCTAGAGCATACTAGTGAGATATTTGGAATAGAATCATTCTCACCCATGTTATTTGCCATAAAATCTAGCAAATATTCATTCTCGGGATACTTATGCTCTGGTTACTCATTGTAAATTGGGAGGAAATTCCAGTTGACTTTTGATTGTAGAGAAGATGATTTGCGATCAAAAAAATACCTTGTTTGAATTTATGTCAAGAACTCGAATCTTCTCCAGGATAATATCTGGATCAATTTTATTGTTGTAATGATCTTTCCTTAGTCTTCTAACCATGTGTATCATTGACTTGTGATATAATACAAGAAACTCAGCAGGATCGATCTTATCGGGGGATGTGGAAGTGATTGAAAAAACCCGTTTGACACCAGGTACCTGAACGGAATGGGGTATAGTTTACACGTTGATAGTCATCCATCAACTTATGGGTCAACACATTAACAGTAGCTTGTGCTAATTAGGTTACATCACTACATACATGCACGTTGTCAAGAGAAGCGTTCCAACTACCAAAACTTCTTCTAAGTGTTCAGGAAATATCGCAAGCTCTAATACCAATTGATGCAAGCAGTGTGATGGAATGAACCGAAATAACATGAAAACCCTAGACTTGTTGATTATCTTAATTATACTAGATAACAAGGCTAAAATTTTAAAATAACGTTGTTGATTCGTAAAAATACCGAAACAATTGAGAAAATGGAGGAAATGTTCTCCGTAATATTATTTCAAATCATCAAAAGCTCCTTAACAGGTTACAATATTAGCTATTTATAATAGCAGAAACCTAATCAAACTTAAAGTAGAATCCTAATTACATTAGGAAACCGAATAAAATAAAATCCTAATTGAATTAGAAAATAAAATGAAGAAACTTAATTAAATTAGCAAATAATTTAAAATCTCCTAAAAATTGTCCAATTGATTCGATTAGAAAATTATCGATTTTGTTCAAACGACATTGCCCACGTTTGAAACAAATGCCCGGAGTCTTGCCTTGCTTTCTGCATCACACACACAGACAGATTATTTTCTTAATAATGTTATGTTTTGTATGGAAATATTTTTTCTATTAAATGTCTACAAAATAAAATGATTTGTGAGGTTTCCATGTGATATGCATTATTGATGCCTCTATCATCTAAGGTAAAAGGTCAAGAACTCTCCAATCAAGTTAAAATACATGTCTCATGAGACATCCTTCTCACGCTACTTTGGTTCTGGTGCAGTTCCATTCTTCTTGGAAGGCTTGACTTGAGGCATATTGTCTAATTATTGTGATATCGTTATGGTACCACAAATATCATGCTCTGATTCTATGTTGTTAATGTATTGCTTATGCAGGTGTTTACTCAGAATTTGCTCACTAGTAGTGTGAAGCGTGGTTGTATACAGTGTAGTACAGGCAAGTTTTTAGTATTATTAATGATTGGTGGTTTAGCATATCTTGTGCTAACTCATACAAGTCCCGTCTATTCTTCTTCTGATGGTCACGTGAAAGATGTTGTGTCCAAGGAAGGGGATGGAGTCACCTTGAATGGTACCAGTAGATTTGGAAGATTTTTGAGAAGACCGCCAAAGCTCCCTCCTCAACTATCACCAGATGAAATACTTAGTAGAGAGAGATCTTTTCATAAGCAGGAGAAGAAAAAAGCAGGATCTGAATGGACAGCTAGGCAGCAAAGTGTCAAGAAGGCATTTATCCATGCATGGTCTGGCTATAAACATTACGCAATGGGTTATGATGAACTTATGCCACTGAGCCGGAAAGGAATTGATGGTTTAGGAGGTCTAGGTGCTACTGTTGTTGATGCTTTAGACACAGCCATGATAATGGATCTTGATGATATTGTGTTTGAAGCAGGTTCGTGGATTGAAACAAACCTTCCAGATAGGCTTAATCAGAGAGGCCAAGTTAACTTATTTGAAACTACCATTCGTGTTCTGGGTGGTCTTCTGAGTGCTTATCATTTGAGTGGCGGAGAACAAGGGGAAAATCCAATTCACAAGGGACCTAAACCAATTGTCTATTTAGAGAATGCTAGGAACTTGGCTGATCGTCTGCTAACTGCATTTACATCAAGTCCGACTGCTATTCCCTTCAGCGACGTCATTCTACGCGATCACTCAGCACATCCTGCTCCTGATGGACTGAGCAGCACTTCAGAAGTTTCCAGTTTACAGCTTGAGTTCAATTATCTCAGTTCTCTTACTGGCGATCCAAAATACACTTTGGAAGCCATGAAGGTTTTGGAACATATGAAGACTCTCCCAAAAGTTGAGGGACTGGTTCCTATTTATGTAAGGTATGGGCCTTACCCTTAATGTTTTCCTTGAACATGGGAATCCAAACTAGGTTTCAAATCGAAAATTCCCTTACCCCAAAAGTTCCAATAAAAATAAAAGTAAAAAAGTCACTATAGACCCTGGGAACTTATTTGTTTGCATCACTTTTTGGGAAGTGTATATTGGGGATTTAAAAGTTATATTTTTGGAAAGCAGTTTTCATGCTTACCCTAGGCTTTGGCTCAGTTATTAAACTTGTGGGGTGACTGTTCATGCTAAATTGGATACATCTTCGAGCCATGTGCTTATATTTCTGGTAACAAAACTTGTTAATCATACTTTCCCTCAGGGCCTCATATTTCTTTTGATAACACACACAAACTTGATCACACATGAGGATTTGACCGGCTGAAATCAATTCATTCTCACCTTTGGCGTGTTCAGCTCATGTGGCAGGCTTACCGATCTTCTTTGCACTCATAATCGAGCTCGTTTAGTTATCACTATTAACAGCCGAACAGGAATCCTGCTATCTTCAAAGTCAGGAATTGTTGCCCACTACTTGTTTTATACTTTTTTGCACTCTTTCCAGCACACTTGAGATGGATCTGATCTTGGATCTGCAGTCAATGTCCTGACCTGAATTTTTTTTTTCTTTTTGGGACTGACAGAAACCAAAAAAAAACAAAAAACACTACTTGACAGTGAACTGGTAATTGATGGAATGGCTGATATTCTTTCTTTGAAATTGTGATTGAAGCAGAATTAGTCTGTATTAATTATGTTATTTACTGCCATGTGTATAATTATAAATCATCTCTCACACTAAGTATTTGGGAGTAAGCCTTTGCTGACTTGAGATTTAAGGTATATATATTATGCTTGCTGGGCAGTTATGCATTTTTTATTTATGTTACATAGATGCCCAATTTTTGTTTTATTTTCTTTTGAAGTGGCTTCTAAACTTTTTGGGCCCTCTTTGTGGTATGTTAGCTTTAGTCCTTAGTTCCTCAACCCAGATCAGGGGTTCAATATGGTTATTTTTTTAATGGACACATACCAGGGGATATATACATATTTTGAGCATACTTACCCAACATCACATGCATATTTTCAATATGGTTATTTAGTTTCTTCTTTTTATGACTGCAGCCCTAGCTCAGGTCAGTTTAATGGAGAAAATATTAGACTGGGATCTCGTGGGGACAGCTATTATGAGTACCTTCTTAAAGTGTGGCTTCAACATCGGGAAAGTAATTGGACATATTTGTATGATATGTATGAAGAAGCAATGAAGGGTGTCAGGCACCTTCTTGTTCGAAAATCTATCCCGAATGAATTGGTTTTCGTGGGAGAATTGCCTTTTGGGCCTAATGGTGCTTTTAGTCCCAAAATGGATCACCTGGTATGTGGTTCTTAACTAGGTGGTGTTCATTTCTCCTTAAAATTGAAAAAAAAAAAAGCCAAAAAAAAAAATTAATGATTTCCAACTGTGAGAAGAATCCTAGTTCATGCTGTAGCTACTTTGTTTTTATTTTTTTTAAATAAGCATTTCAGCATATTTTCTCATGCTCTTGGACCTCTTCATATCACGTTAAAATCTAAGAATGTGACTATCTACTCCTTGTGCACTATGGTAGAAAACATCTGCCCACTGGATTCGTCAAAAAAATTAGTAGGAAGCAATGCATTCTGGAACCTAGTTTAGAATTTGAGAATATCTGCCATCTCTTCATGTGTTGCGTTGTGATAATCGAAGGATGATACTCGCTGCGGCAACTATACTAAATCTTTCAATAATGCAGTCTAGGTCACTTCTATCTTTCAAATTGTATTAGTACTGTTTAGCATATTCCTTTTCACATATATAAGCAGTTTTGGGAGTGTATATTGCAGAGTTAGTTTAGTTAAATATGAAGCCCAGTTTTCAGAAGTTTGAAGTCTAGCATGCTTGTGGTATTTTTTATAGTTGGTACCATGCTACTAACTACTTAGTATTTCCTTTTATAATGTATACTAGCAGGCTCATCCTTGTATCCTTATTCCATCTTTTTGATATAGAAGTACTTTCTTCACCTGTTCAGGTGTGTTTCCTACCTGGTACTCTTGCGCTTGGTGCCACCAAAGGCCTTACAAAGGAAAAGGCTATGAAAGGCAACTTGCTAAAGTTTGAAGACATAGAAAATCTGAAGCTTGCAGAAGATCTCGCTAAGACTTGTTTTGAGATGTATTCTGTAACTTCCACAGGCCTTGCTCCAGAAATTGCTCATTTCAATGTGGAGGTTAGTGAGATTTGTATAATTGATTTCTTAGAATCAATGTCTAATAATCCAATTACAGATATTAACTTACACAGATTTACATTTTTACAATTATGGTGGTGAATTGAGCTCACAATAATAGGTTCCACTTTAACCAGGGAAACTCTGAAGAGGGCCTTGATGGTGGAAACAAGAGTTCAAAATATGTGAATGACATAATTATCAAACATGCTGATCGTCACAATCTCTTGCGTCCTGAAACTGTTGAATCACTGTTCATATTGTATCGTATCACAGAAGATCCAAAGTATGCTCCCAAATTTATTACACTGTATTATCTATTCTACATTCCATTTTGTTGTACTTATCTAGAATTTGGTTTGACATTTGAACGCTGCTTCTGCAGATATCGTGAATGGGGTTGGGAGATCTTTGAGGCATTTGAGAAATATACAAAGGTTGATTCTGGAGGTTACACTTCTCTAGAGGATGTCACCATGCTTCCTCCACAAAAGAGAGACAAGATGGAGACCTTTTTCTTGGGTGAAACCCTGAAGTATTTATACTTGCTGTTTGGCGACAGCAACCTTATTCCATTGGATCAGTTTGTTTTTAACACAGAAGCTCATCCTATTCCAATTAAAGGCAGTACTAAGAGAGAGTGACATTTTGACTGCAGCAGAAGCAGTTTTACGAGTTAAAGCATTTAGGAACTCTGAATTCCATTGTTGCAACTGGAAGTAATAGACGCCTGGCTATGATGTTGGCAGATTTTAGAGGTGGCTCTCTACTTGATTGCTTTCTTCTCCAATGCATCAGTGGCTTGGCCGACACCCGTTTTGTCACACTGGGAGAACCCAACGGAGAGAGAATTTTTTGGAAGTCCTTATTTTTTAGGCCCATTAGATCAGTGCAATTTTACGAGATGTTTACCCCCCTCCATAGCTATAGAATCGAGCAATTAGTGGAGCTTTTCCTGCTGTAATGATTTAAGGGTAATCAGTAATAGACTTTTTTAGCCCCCCCCCCCCCCCCCCCAAATATTACCCATCTGGAGAGAATTTAAATTATTAGCCAACTTTGTCAGAATCTGTAACTATATACAGTTGCTTAAGCTTCAAGCTCTCTGCATGTGTGCAGTATAGCATTTCAATAATCATTTCGTTACATTACAATCTCTAATTTCACCCTCATTTGCAAGAAGAAACAGATGGTCCCCATCTCGAATGACACTTATGTCATCTATTTCTGCATTCTCCGAATTCACTACTTTTGTAAAATTGTAGCCCCCAAACTTTTGACCTGCAGTTCCATAAGAAGCAAGTAACAAGTAGGTAAAGCATCAAGAAATAAACATGCTATCACTGGAACAGTGTAGCCTCTTAATTTCAAGGTTTGATCTTTGTTTGTATGTTGGCTTTTCGTTTTCATTTGCACTTGAATTTATCTCCGAGTCGCTAAAACTAATAAATTTGTAAGTCTAAATTTCAGGTGCATATTCAAGTTGCTGATATGTTGAGCGAATCTTACCTGCAACCATCAACAGTTCTTCAAGTGAATCAGGTAGGATTATTAGCTTCCCAAGCTGCTTTTGTGACTTACTCTTGTTTTGAAACTCCATGTGAATGATGATTCTTCTCTTGAGAGATCTTTTTACTCCTGCATCAGTGGGACAGCTAGAACCATTTGAGCTGAAGAATGTTGGGTTTCTAAGGTAAGAATCAGAAAAATTAGTGGTCCCATTTCCTATGTGTTTGAATTGTCCATTCCTGTTGTTTTCAGCTGTTTGTGGTTCGATAAGATCCACTTTGTGCTCACTTAATATCCCTATATTTTTGTAGCTTGGTAAAACATCATATGTACTTTTGCTTCCTCCCTGTTCTGCGAGAATATTTGGTTTCCACCCTTTTGCATTTAGTCCTTCTTCCAGTAGATTCCTGACAGTTCCAACATGCCCCTCAAGAATGGCAGCATGAAGAGCTGTTTTGTTATCCTCTGCTGTTGAATTCATATCAATACCACATGTGTTAGATTTACAAGCTTTTCCTGTGTCTTTCTTGTCTGCTGCTTCTGAATCAAGTATATCTACAACCCTTGCTTCCTGTATCAGTGGATCTCCAGCATGAGAACAGCTTTCTCCTTTCGTTCCGTCATCAAGACATTCACTGAGGATCGAGCCTGGATCTATGTGTTGGCCTAAGCCAAAGCTTTCCAGTTCTTTCAGTTTCTATAAATGGGGAAGACAGAAATTAACATTTGTTGTCATAACACAGAATTTAAAAGGTGGTTTAACTATATTAATTACCAGGAAAAGATTGTTCATAATGATGCAACCATCCTGTGCATTTGTCTGAATACCATTCATCAATGTAGTCCTGTTCAACCGTAGTATTTGACAAATGTCGATAGTCCGAACCGTGAATGGCTGGGGTCTATGGCATAAAACCCCTATTTCCCCAAACATTTCTCCTGCAACAGCCTTCCCCAGGACCTAAACATCATGTAAGAATGTGAATTCAGGTTTGTACTGTGTTATTGCTTGGACGATAAAAAAAAAAAAAAGTTGTAATGTAGAAGTGACATACTTGATCGTGTCCATTAATATGTGCAATCAACTCCTGCCATCACAAACCATTCCCAAACCAGGAATGTTAGAAGTAAGCATTTATAAGCATGGTCATATATTACGTGACATGAATATTAAGCTTACTCACTGCTGCTCCAGAGACCACTATGTACATTTCTGCTGGGGCCTCATTTTGTAGAATCACATCTTCCTTTGGTGGGAAATACTCAGCTTCTATTTCTGAAACCTTTTCCAAAAGAGTACATTTTATTTTTTAGTTGTTTTATCATTTCTGTAAAAGAAAAATATTCTCTTAGCTTATAAATAGACAAATGAGAAATAAGGGAGGAAAAAGAAGAATACCAGTTGGAAAAGAAAGTCATGAGAAACCCCTTGGAAAAGGCGGGTTTTTTGAATGATCGGAAAGAAGAGATAGTACGCAATGCTCGAACGAATTGCCTTTGGCAGAATATTCAGGGTCTCTTGCTGTTTCAATTCTTCTGTTTTGAACTTGAGGCATATGTGTGCCAATATTTGACCCTGTACATGTGAGGGCAACTGATTTCGTTTTGCAAATTCTGAAGCAGCTCTGACTGTCTCCCTCTGTAGTACCCCAAAGGGCCAAAAGCAGGTTTCACAAAAAAGATTGACTTCAAGAGACGTAGAAGAAAAAAAGATATCTAAGGTACTGACAGTCAAATGCTGATGCTTGAATTGACATCTTTAGAGACATGCCAAAAAAATAGGGTAGTAGTTAAAATATTGCATTATGTTCTACAATGTTCTGCTTTTCTTTGCACATATCTTTTGGAGTGAATATATATATATATATATATGCGCTGCTAGTTATTTGAGTTGGCTTGTTTGGTGCTTTAAGTTTTTCATATTAAAATATGCCATTGTATAGGGATACAGGAGCTCATAACTAAAACAAATTTTCCAGTTACACGAGAAACTTATTAGTAACTTTGATCGGACTTGGATTTATTCTAGACCAGTTAGACTATTTTATAGTTGAGGATGTTGCCGTTTTTAGCAGGTGGAATACTGCAAGGGAACAGCAGATAAGTAGAAGAGAGATAACTTACAAAAGTCCTGGTACGGCTTGTCCAGTGAACTACAAGGTTTGTCATGTTCCCAATGAGGTAAGATGTCAACCCCAAGTTGAAAAGCAGGTAAAAGATGGCAAACAGCATCTCTCTAGGATTCTCAGCATGCAAGTCCCCGTAGCCAGTTGTAGTTAGTGTTACAATAGAGAAGTAAATTGCAGTTACATATCTATTCCAGAGGCTTTGTCTTTTGAAATTTGGGTATACGGCTCCTATCCAGGTTCTAGTTGGATCTGGATATCTATCTGCAATCAGATAGTTGAGACATCCAGCACAGTGTACTGCAAACAGGGTTACCTGATTTCAAACCAAAAAGGGCAAGGAATGCATAATTTCAATGGGTAATATTCCCCAGGATCTAGATAAGGGCTTTCAAGTGGACACTAATAAAGTTCTTATTGGCTTACAGAGATCAGCTTTGTGCACCGAGTCCAGAAATAGTTGAATCGGATGTCCTTCTCAAGTCTAGAGGAAAGCAAACCGGCTCAGTGAGAATTGTCGTTCATCCAGCATTTTTAGTCATAATTTTAAGACACCTAAAGACAGGTTTGAATTTGGTGATGGACCTTGCAAACAGGGAGCTGACTCGCCTGAGGCGCCAGAGTCTGAGCATGTTGAGTAACTTAAAACCGATTCCACTGCTTTGATCTGTGAAGAGGAGGCTAATAGATTGCAATGGCACGGTTGAGCAGACATCGAAAATAAACCAGGTTGATATGTACCTATAGCATGATAGGATTAGATGAAGGAAGTTTGGTGATTAATCTCTCAAAAAGGAACTTGTCATTTATAACAATTCGGAGGAAGAATATGATGAAATAATGGTTGTTGACCTTATTGCTATTTTCCTGGGTTCATCAACAAGAAGATAAGATTGGCTGTCAAGATATGCCACAAAGAAGGTGAGCATAATATCAATGGCAAAGAAGCTGTTGACAAGGTTGTCAATGATGAAAAGCGCATCTTCTTGCTTGTACGTGAGAAATGCAAACTCAAATGGGCAGATCCATGCTGAGTATATGACCAACACAACTAGAAACATCTCCCATGCCCTGAAAGAAGAATAGAAAATGAGAAACTTCTGGTTTCTTCATAAACAAGTACCTTAGTGAGCAGGAGCAAGGCCATCACCTGTAACGGGGATTGAATGGAGAAATTATGTATCTTCGAAGTTTTGTTGCTTGGTTGATTCTGGCTCCAAGGGATGGGAGGAGATCGCTAGAGAAGAAGCCACTTTGGCTACCCGTATTCATATGGAACTCGTCGACACAAAATCGTTGAAAGAAATATTTTGTGCAGGAAAATGACATTCTGTAGGTTTGAATTTCTCAAGTGCACAGTGGAGTCCGTTATATTTCTATGGGGTTTAGTCTCTTGGGAGAGTTTATATAGCGGAGATGTTGGCTGGTGACACGGGTAATGACTCTCTTTTCCACTTTTTCATTAATACATGCATATCTTTTGACATGCCTTGACTGTATTTGGAAAGATTATGCAACTAGTGTAGCTATAAGGTCACACATAAAAACGAGAAATATCGGATGGAAAACCGACATGAAATTGCGCTGGAAGTGGCAGACATGAGGCTTTCTACAATGCAGCTGCAGAAATGAGCTCTCTGAGAGAGAGAGAGAGAGAGAGAGAGAGAGAGATTTGAAGGACAGATTTGAGTGAAATTATTTTGGTGTTTTCATTTTCAAATCCAAAAATGGTCCAGGCAACCGTAGAAGGTGAGTGGAGGGGGTTTTGGGTAATGGGTTATGTATGCCACGTGGACCAATAGGAGCAAGTTTTAGAGGTGTGCTTCCCTAAGAACTCAATTTCAACTCATTTTGTCTTGATAGACAGCCTAGGTTGTTTGTTTATGCAGTGCAACCAGAACCATATGTGAGGAATGGATTCCCTCCATGTATCCAACTGTCCCCCCCCCTCCCCTCTCTCTCTCTCTCTCTCTCTCTCTCCGCTTTTATGTGCTTCTTGGATCCACCTACTATTGATGGTTTGCCTTTGATTGACGATAGTGTTGATAAAAGTTTTAATATTCATGTATTCAATTTATCACAAGTTTTTTATGCAGTCCAATCTGAATTTTCTGGAATATTTTTGCTTCTTGTTTAGGAGTGGATGCATAGACTGGAATATACTCGCTGTGCACATACACGCAAGCGCGCGCACACCCCACACACACACACACACACACACACGTTAACATATAGGAGTCTTCCAGGAAATTATGAATGTCTTGTCATGTAGGTGGAAGATAAGTTGATGAAGAAGCTTTCCATTCATGGAGGAAAAACTCATACCCAAGAGGACCCATCTGTAAGTCGTTAAGTATCTTTAGCATCTGGAGTCATCAATTCATCTTATGGGTGGATACTTGCTAGCGGTCCGTTTCAGTTAATAAGCCATTCGGACTGACATTTACGTGATTGATGGGCCCCGCCACCTCATAATTTGTACTATTAATAAAGGAGGGGAGCGAGGTTGGTGACCACATCATACAAAACCCGTAATACCGTTTATTTCTTCTAAATAAACTCTCTCTGGCTTTATTCAACCGTATGTACTCATGAAATGTCAATGTTATTGTTCATTTCTTTCAAAATAACGAAGCAACTCCTATTTCAACCCTGTTTAATTACCCATTTTTCTCTTCACACATGTAATCGTGTGTGTATGATGTCTCATTAAGAATAAAATAAATGGTCTATCGAGAGATAACTAAATCAAATTAAACTAAGTCTTATATTCCATCGTTGCTTTGTAGGTACAATTGAATTGAGTTAAATGAGACTGTTAACTTGAGATTGAGATTGGTTGGCTAAGAGAGGAGACGCCTTGTGTGGCTGTTGGTTATGGCACGTGCATCATATGTGCAACGGGATCCCCCTCTCTCAACTTCACTCTCTCTCCAATCTTCGGTGAACAGTGGGGCTCAATTTGGTAGGCCCTACTCAGAATCCTCGTGAGACAATCCTACACTTTGGGAGAGAGTTCATGAACATTGGGTTTTCTCTCTCTCTCTCATTGTCATACACACATGGTGTGAGATGTTCTCCACAATGTTATTTTATATTTTTTTTTCTTGGTGGGTCACTTTCACTCGTTATATATAAATGATAAAAAAAGAAAAATAGAGAAAAAATATTAAAAGATATCTAAATTCACTAAAAATTAAGTAAGGTAGTAGTTAACAGTCTTATATAATAACCACACCTGGGAAAAGGTTGCACAAGCTCATGAAAGTTGTAAGGAGAAAAAAGTCAAGTCATGAAAAAGTCCATCTCACGGATCATATACATACATATATATATATATATATATACACACACAGACACAGTAAACACCAAAAATACAATAAACGAAGGTGGAATTATTCCTTTTAAATTATCAACCTTCATGAAAAGACTCCCTCTTGCTAATCGTCCGACGAATATGGGATGAGTAATGATTGATCTTGGAAAGGTGGCTGAGAGAAAAAAATCGTCACTAGTGGTTGTTTAGGTATCGTGAATCTCTCTTAATATACCGATTTTAGTCGTAAATACTTGCATACTGATTTTAGATTATTTTTCAAAATTTAAAAGGCAACTGTTTTTGTCCTCAAAAAAAATATATAAATAATAAATCCTAATAGTTTTATAAAGTTCCTCTACTATTTTTTAATAAATGCTTCCAAACTAGTGTACAATCTATTTGAATTCAAATTTTACCAATTATAACTTCTAGCAATAAATATATACTAATTTACCAAATCATAAGTTATAAAACAAATATAAATTAAGACTTGTGAAAAATAATGCAAAATTATTAAGTGAACAAAGGTAATGAATTTGTTCTGAATACAATCGAAATTAAAAGAATTATAAACTCATTAAGGATTTTATTTTAATTATGTTCTAATAAACAGATATGTTCGGGATGAAAAAAAAATAATTTATTTTAGCATTATAGATCTGTACGTCGTCAAGGATAGATATTGAATTTGACCAATAGAATTAATCAGATATTTTAAGAGACCCAAATATATCTTACTTAGAAAAAAAAACATGAGAGGGCAATTTTGAATCAGCCTAGGGGGTTGTTGCTAACTAATTAATGACCCTATCTTGCTTTCAAAAAGGACCACCACATTCTTGTGATTATTAACTTACATCTCTCAACCATTTGCCACCTTCGACAATGAAGTTTGCTAACACCTTCCCCTACTCACAAGGACAACTAACAATCAAAAGAGAGGGGAAAAATATTTGGTGTAACCGTTACTCTATGTTAACAGAACTATGTGGTATAATCAATCATTAATAAATAAACAAATTTATAAGTGAGTCACACTAAAATTCATAACCACCCAACCATATAATACATAACCACCTGCATAATAGAAAGTGAGCTCATTTTTGTCCGTTTTGTAGTTTTTTATTCGATGGTTACACCATATCGACATTGCTGATATGATGTAACCATTACACTCAATATTTTACTAGAGAGAGAGAATCGCGGTCATGAGTGGGCACGGGCGAAAGTGGCTCAGAACAGTGGTCCTCAGAACGGTGGTCCTCAATGAAACTTCACTAAATCTCTTGAAGTTGTTCATGGCTAGGGTTCTTGATCTTATTAATAGAATTCAGGCATCCCTAGAGAAGTGAAGAATATTCTCAGTTAACTTACTACAATCAGGTCTTTGATGTTGATACTTTGGTAGATCTTTTTGGCCACGTTAATGCAAAGCCCAATTTTCCTGCAACTTCTCTTAGAAACTGTCAATTTGGGTAGTTGTTGCTTCATCCCATCTTCTTGGCAGTTTTAGAATTCAAAACGAAGTTGAAGTGATCATGCTTTCAAGCCAACATGATTGATTAATCATCCTTTTTGAAAATAGGCAAAGGTGTACAGTCTGATGTATAACATTTGCTAACTTTATTTATTAACTCATCAAATTAGTAACGAATCCCGAATAATCTGGGAGATTATTGCCAATACAATAACAGTGATTGATTAACTCAACGAATTAAGTCTAAATAATATTATTATTTTTATATATATTGTAATATTTTTTGTCGTGTCTGAAATCTCTTCAATGTAAGAGTTGGCATCAGATCGAGTCGACCAAACTTAGACCATCAAAGAGTAAGACCAGACCAACCTGATATAACTGTATTGTTATATTCATGTCGCATTCGAATCAGCACGCTAATGGCAAGATATTAAGACATTTGTCTTGGTATTCAAACTGATTGATCGTGCTGCTCTTATAATCATGTTTTGTCAAATTCGAATCGTACATGTAGTTGGGGGAATATTTTTCGACCCTAACTTCAAAATAGTTCAAGTAGCAACAAGAACTAATTGTAAACTTAGACGTTATTAGTTTAAATCTTGATAATCTTTTGGTGTCGGGCCATGAGAGATTTATTCCTCATGAATTTTCTAGTTTTAACGTAAATAATCTGTCTTTGACCAAATTAAAAGAAAATTAATCGAGATGCGTATAAGCTAACTCAAATTAAGACCATAAGTGTCAGATATCAATCCCTTTCCAAAGATCATGAAATCCAGCTTTAGGTCATCTTCCCACTATGTGACTTACACCTACCAAATGTTTTTGAACCGATTATGTAAGGTCATCATTAGGACGGCAATTGCCATCAGAGATAAGATCAATCTCTCCGATTTGTTTGTTTAACGTGGGTTGAATTTGAAGATACGATGATCCATTAATACGAATAATATTGTTCAAAAAAAATATTAATAATGTGAAAATTTTATTTAACGGTTCCTTTCGTAATCTATTTTTGCATGATTCATTAGAGAATTATATGATCTTTCATCAATATTAAAAGGATATGGAACAAGTAGAATTTTTGTTCATGGGGCACACATGGGTAGGCTAGTTAATGGATCAGACTCTAATCCGATTGAGTTAAAATTTAGGCGTAATTTCTTAAAAATAAACTTACAATTAAATTATTTGGATTGGGTATCCAATTTTCAATGAATTCAAATATAGACTATAAAATGAAAATTTTCAAATAATCAATCAGACTCCAATTATATTTTTCAAAATGAATTGAATTCAGATTAATACAAAACTAATCAAAATTCGATCTATTGACAAGCTTACATATATGTGGTGGATTTGGCACGAGGTTTATGTGTTGACCCACACATTACATAGATACTATACAATCCAATATAGTGCATCCTATATATGACATAAATCTTAAGTGACACGAACTAACATAACCTGACCCTTATTCCTAATAGCAAAAATTGCCATTGATTCAATGGAAAAGTGGTAGTAAAGTTGTTGTCAACGAACTTGTGGTTCAAATCTGAGAACAATCACTTTACTCTTGTTAATCCTCTCGATTGACAAGAATCTAAGTTGAACTACAACCCATCTTTTTTACAAGGGATTCAAGAGTACAAAGTGAAAAAAAAAAAAAACATTCTGTCATTCTAGTATATAGAACATTGAGTTTTCACAATACTAAAGAGCTTGTTCTTCAAATTATCCAATTTGGAATGCTACCTAAATTTCAAAATTTTGGGACCATTGCCCTTAACTTGTGCCAATCTAGCAAGTTTCCAAATCAAAAGGTTCATAGTCCTTCATGCATGGAAAAAGATTCAATG